TATCAACATATAATGACCTAACATGATCTTTAAGCTGAATTTAAACAGAATCTACTGAACTCTCTTGCTAAGCCTTACTCACGGCCATGGCACGCCTCCGCACGCTCTCGCTACGTGCGAGGGTGCGGCCAACGGCCTTCAGTTTCTTTCCAACTCACCAAGTACCTTGACTAGCTTAACTTAACTGAATTTAATATAACTGAAATCATCCTTTAAACCCTGGTCATGCATACTGAACATAAAAATGACCGTGACGGACGCCCGTGCGCCGCCGACGGCAATATGCCGTCTCTCAGGCGAACGACCTCTTTACTCGACAACTTCAGAACCTCTTAACATGATCAATATACTGAAACAAAATAAGGCTTAATCACACGGAAGAACATGATTAATACCGAAGTAACAAGCCTCGGCCCGCGGCTACCCGAGGCCACGCACGATAGGCGCGGCGTCGGCTGGGGCCATTTCATCGGCAAAACTTCACTTTTATACGACAATACTTGCTTGACTGAACATAGTTAACTGAATAAGGGCTAAATAAACGGTAAATGCACGGAACATGTCGGACTGAATTGAACAATAAATCGATTATGATCTTACTCAACCTAACCGGACCTAAGGCACGGCTTTAATCTGAAAATTCCGACAATTAACCGAACACTTAACTCTAAAATGACCTAATCATCAAGAATAGGGGCTGAGGAGAGCAGTACCTCTTCAATCGCTCGACGGAACTCGGAAATAACGCGTGCTTCTAGCCTTGAACTCGCCGTGCGCTATTACTTGTCTTTGCCGTGAAATATAGATGAAAATTTGGAAATCTGCTTATCTTTTAAAGGCTGCTGAAGGAGGAACAAGTACTGAATAGGTTGCTGGTTTCTTAGGGGAAAATTGGGGAAAATTTGCTTGGTTAAGCCCCTCTTTATAGACGGCTGTGGAGTGTTTGAGGGCCACATAGGCTTGATGTGGCTTTACCCATGTTTAACACTTGTTGATTAATGAACAAACTTGTGGTGACTAAGCTCTTTCTTCTCTTGCCAAGTTGCTAGATATAATTGGTCAATTCCTTTCCTTTAGCTTAAGGAAGGCTTCGGCTTTCTTGAAAAATTTTGGGAAAATTGTACTAACTCCCACGGCTTAAGCTTAATGATTGTGATTAACATCAATTAATCACTTATCTTATGTTTAATTATTAATTAAACATAATACTTAATTACCAAAATTTATTCCGAACGTAAACGGTACGTCGAAAATCAATTTCGGTAATTACGAATGAACTTAATTAATTCCGAAAATAATAAACGATAACGTTACTATATCGGAATTAAACGTAATTATACCGATTAAAATATCGGGCTATTACAATCTTCCCTCCTTACAAAATTTCCGTCCTCGGAAATTCAAAACATGACTAATATACATGAACTATGTACATAAGATAAAGAATATGTACATTAAAACTAGAAATCTGGAAAACGAGCGCGAATGTCCGACTCTTCCTCACAGGTAGCTCCGTGGCGATCCCACTGAATTCGCACGAGGGGGATATCTCGCTTCCG